TTCTTGACTTGCCGGTCGAGTATGGCCCAGAGGTTTTCGATGGGGTTCATGTAAGGAGATTGGCTCGGCCAAGGCAACTACTGGATACCATTTTCTTCCTGCCAATTTTGGGTGTTTCTAGCAGTGTGACACGGTGCTCCATCTTCCTGGAACAACATTGTGTTCTCGTCCACAATGACCCGAGTAATAAAGTGGCAAGAGTCCTTCCTCCAATATTTCGATGTATTTCGCAAAATTTATGTTGCCAATGCACTCCACTAAGCTCGATCTCCCACCAACCCAAACAGCTCCCCAAACTATCACGCTGAAACCACCATGCTTCACAGTTGGCTGCAATCTGTTGATCCAAAACTCTTGGTGAGGCATTCTCCAGACCCATATCCTTCCACTGTCCGAAAATTGAGCGAATCTTGATTCGTCTGAGAACAATGCGGTCTTCCAAAAGTCCAGAGGCTTGATCGTCATATCACTTGCCCACTTCTTTCGTCTGACTATGTTGACAGGTCTTAATAAGGGCTTCTGTCTAGCTGCTCTGCAATGATAACCCAATCTGTGGAGAATCCGTTGAACAGATTTTGGGCTCATCTCACCAGCTTTGGCCACTTCTGCAGTCGTTACTCTGGGATCCGTTTCGATGCTCCTCTTGACAGCCCTTTTTGTCCTCTCCTATGGACCAGGACAACCCGGACGCTGCTCAGTTGTTTCCTGAACTGCACGATGATTCTGTTGACTGTCGAAAGCGAAATTTGCCGCTGACTTATTCCACCATCTGATTGACCAACTATCCTTCCTCTAACAAAATCTGACAATTCGAGAGAACCTTGAGTTCTAGGCATGTTGTAGCACAAGATAATTAGTGTGAGGACCATTTTCATTTATATAATGCTCTGTGAACACAAATTAGTTAGCATAAATCAGTTAAATGACGAAAAATTAGGTGTCTATTTACTTGTGACCACTCAATATATATATATATAAATGTAGTATATAAACATACCATGAGCTTAAACCTTCTTATATGAGTACATTATTATTCTAAACTTATCAATTATATATGAGTATGTACAGTTTTTCACATAACATATGGTCAAAAAAGAAGTCTTCAGGTTGATGTTGCTCCAGCTACCTTTGTTCCTTGCCATTCTATAGAGATCACACTTGTTCTTCCCTTTGAGAGTTGGCTGTAATGCACACATTATGTAAAAATGTATACAGCAGTGTTGTTCAGTGGTAGTTCAGGTAGTATTTTGAGGCTACAACCTCCTTTATGCTTGAATGAGAATGTGCAATCATGTGGGTTCCTAACATTTTGCATTTATTTCATGTGTTTTTTTCCAGGTTGATTGCACAAGTAATCGTTTCATATGTAATGAATTTGAAGTCAAAGCCTATCCGACTTTATTGTGGATTATAGATGGTAAAAAGGTAAGCTGGTTGTGACATAAAATTAAGATATTTTTTCAGTATAATAAGAGATGTATTAGGAAAAGATATTGGTTAAACCCAATAGAAAAACAACAGGTACACAAGCTTTCAATGAACAAATGTCTTAAACAGAAATTCTTCAATTGCATTATCTTTTATACTAAAACTGGTGAACCATGAAAATATTAATGTATAAAGTGATGAAATATCCAATAAGACTACTATTAATATTCATTAATTCATTTGTAACTGATTTAGTAGCATGTGTTTCAGTGTAGTCTTTAGCAGAATAACATTCTTTAGGATACTTGAGAGAATTGTAATTTACCAATGTATCACTAACTTTGATCATTAATTGTACTAATTTTAAATGAAAACTCTTACATTCAGTGTAAATAAATGTAAAATAGTTGAATAAATAGAGTTGTTTAAACATTTGTTTAACAACAAGTAAAAGCTTGGAATGGTCTAATCTTTCATTGGGTGGTGTTTAAACAACTTACATCTATTTAAATCTAATATAGTCCTAAATATTCAGATGATACTAATAAGTATATTTTATAAGGCATTAAAGATTAGATTCTTTGTAGGTAGAGAAGTATCAAGGAGGGAGAAGTCATGAAGAGCTTAAATCTTTTGTTACAAAAATGAAAGAACTGAACCACAAAATAGACACAGGAAATGAAGAGAAGGTTCCTGATGCTTTGGTAACTGAAAAAAAAATTAGTTCATTGAATTTACCTGTGATTTCTATCTGAACTCTTATGTAAATATATAATGTCAGCTTTATATGTGTGTTTTAACCATTTGTAGAAATCTGCTTAGCCCCCTTGCTATGGGCTCAGTCAATTCAGCTGAATTCATAACCCCAACTTTACCTTTAGAGTTTCCATACTATAACTTCTAATATGTTTTGTGTATCTTCACAAAATTTTGCAAGCTCTCAGTTATCATTGCAAGTGTTTTGTAGACGAAAATTCAGAATTTTTAATGAAGTATATAATGCATATCATGATAATAATGTAATTAAATTTTTAGTGTAATTCAGTTAAACCTTATCTAATTGAATATTTATTGTTAGATATTTTTTTTTCTAAACCTTTAACATTGAGCATAATCTATTTAAGAACTTAAAACTTAGCTTCACTGAAAAATACAAATTATGCTGTTGTTCCTTTAATATTTAGTTAGACAATGCCTTTAGATACAGACTAAGATTAGGAAGTTGGTTCTATAAGAATCCTTTCCTTGATATTTTTAAATAAACTGCAGAAAAGATTTATTTATTATTATAAAGTAACTAAAATGTAAAAATAGGAATCTCTTTAGGTTGGTTAAAATAAATAATAATATAATAAAAATATTTCACAAGGCACGCATGCGAACAGCTCAGAGTAGCTCATGGGTATTGTAATTCGATAGCATAACATGAGCTCCACATTTCCCAATTGATTTACAACTTATAATGGCTCAAATAGTAGTTAGAGATGGTTCAAAGAGCAATAAAACAATATGAGTTATGAATAAATAAATGTATACTGTTATGAGTTTAAAACTACTTAGGATAAACGAATGTAGTTTCATGTCACAATTTGAAGTCAATCTAGAAAGAAAAAAAGGAATAATTTGGATTTAAATTTTTCTTTTGGTTGTTTCGAGGCTGGTCAAATTGATTGACCTTGTGTAGAGTTAAGGTAGAGAAAATAACAGAAAATATATAAATTCTTACTGAAAAGAAATGTTTGAAATGTATTTAGGAGGTTTTAGAGATTATGCAAAGGAAATTTGAGATTTTTGAGATGAAGAAAGGTGTTTTCAATCTTAACATGAAAATCACCTTGCACTCGGACTAATAAAAAAAAACTCAATATATTCATGGACAAATCTTTTTTTAGATTATCAAAAATACTTTGCCAAAATATGTGATTTTTTTTTTTACATGAAAGACTTGTAATGTTTACTGAAAGTCTGCCAAATTTTGTGAAGATATACATACTATATTAAAAATTAGTGGTATCAAAACTATAATGACTGAGTACAAAGTGGTCATGTATTCATGTCGAGAGAGTTAAATAGACTCTCCTCTGTACAAAAACATATTTTCCAAAACCACATTTAAGCAGACCAAAGGAACAAAAGTCCATAGAGCTACACTAGAGGAACCTTTACAGATATGTGTTTGAGTGAGATACTGTTATTATTACAGTTAACTTGGCCAGCTTTCTCATGAAAATGACCTTGGGGTTTAAGGTGTGACTGAAAGCTTGTGAGCCATAGTTAACTTCAAATTATTTCTTATTATCTTATAGACTGTACTAGGAGATATGTTCAGCTTCGTTGTCATGGGTTTTTGAAGTGAAGAGTACTTTTTTTGTAATCATAATCTTTGTTTAGTGTTTTCCCGAATGGACTTAAGACGTAATTTCATAGCTAGATACTGTTGAAAAAAACTTTGCTATGCAAGTTTTTCTATTGAATACATTGAAGGCTTCCTTTTTTCAAAATGTTGAGTTTTATAACTGTGTTTAACATTCTTGATCTACAAATATCCTTTCTGAGAAAGAGCTATAACACACACTCCATTCAGTGGAACAACCTTGATAGCATTTTACTACTGAATAGCCAGAATTAACAAGTCACTCATGTTGCATCTGCAGCAGTATATCAGCCTTTTTTTCCATACACATTTGTATTTAGTATGATATTTTTATCTTTTAAGTTCTTTTACAGTATAATGTTACTTAACTTTGTAGCAATGATGCCATCTTTAAACCCCATTTTGTGCATGTTACTGAGTCACATTCAAAACTTAATTAAACCAATTTACTATAAATGTATTTTAATGAAGTTATTATTATTATCAAGTATTTTATAATTTAAAGTTTTATATTATCTAAGTATTGTTCCTTTATTTTGAAAAGAAACATCTAAAACAGCAATTAAAAGGGCAGTTTTTGCTGTTGTGTTATCCACTCATGGTTACAATTCTCAATTTTTAAGAGCACTTATACAAGAAACTGGGTATCTAAAGTAGACTGTCATTTCAGACAATCAAACTTCACAAAACACGTATATTTCATTACCATCTGGAGATCTTCCAAGAATTTCTTCCCACCCTAAACAGTTGTAAATGTTTTCTCAGTTTAAGATTAGATTTGCCCACTTTCAGAGTTGAAATGTGTTGCTATGCAACAGTTTGAAGTTGAATGGCATGCTTATATCGAATAAAAAGAGCAGATTTCCCTCTGTATAGCTAAATAGACCAACAGACATTGGCAGTATATATATGTTTCTAAATATCAAGTTGAAAAAAGCTTAATCCATTGTTGAGAGCAGGGTCCCTAGTGTTTGCCTTTACTTTATTGCCATATACATAGTTTGATAAATTGCATTTATGTTTTACTTTTATATTTTAATTAATTATGTGTTATTTGTGTTTTAAAATGCATATTTGAAAGGTTTAATGAAACTTATAAGTTTAACTTTTTCTTGCCTGAATTGTGAAAGAGTATAGACATTAGGTGTGAGTGGGCACTATCTTGTTTACCCACTACATGTCTGTACCCAGAGTTGGTGTAAAAATATGTTTATAAAGGCCTGCGTACATAAGTGATGAATCAGCAGAAATAACTGAAGAATAATAATTAAAAGTAAACTATAAGTGAAAAGATAAAGACATGAAATTACGCATGGTAGACCAGTAAATTCTAGTGAATTTGCATGAAGAGTTGAAAGGTATGTACATATTTTCATTTGTCAATTTTAAACATTTCATTCCTCTGTAGTGGAGTTAGTGATACAGTAGAGAAAATGGAAGATAAAATATAAATATTTACCTTAAAAAAAGCCTTTGGTATTCATTTACGAGGTTCTAGAGATTATGCAAATGAAATGTGAAGACTGTAACATAAAAAACAGTATTTTTATACTTCGTATAAAAATCACCTAACTAAACCAAAACCCCAAAACCAAACTCATTAGATGCTGAATTTAATCTAGTTTTTAGGTGATCAAGTAGCTGTTTGTAATTTTTGGTTATTCTGTTTACAGCCCTCACCTGTAGTACAGCTTACATCAGAAAATTTTGTTAATGCTGTAAGTCAAGGCCTCAGTTTTGTGAAATTTTTTGCACCTTGGTAAGTTTTGGTTTTTGTCATTTTTATTGTATTGGTAGCATTGCTTAATCGTGGTTACATATTTTTCTGGTTCATTATGAAAATAACTTTCATAACTTAATTTTTATTTTGAATTTTTTAGATTACTAGAAAATTTGTTAATATATATATTTTTTTACATTTGTATTTAATATTCTACATTTTATATCAGGTGTGGACATTGTCGACGGTTAGCTTCAACGTGGAATGATCTTGGGAGGAAGTTTGTTAGAAATACAGAAATAAAGATTGCAAAAGTAGATTGTACTGTTGAAGATGCATTGTGCAGTGAAAATAAGGTGATATATTTTGTTGTACATAACACTTCATAACCAAAAAAATAAATCAAAAAAGAGAGAAAGTGTATAATTATCCTGTGATGAATATGCTAATTTAAAAACTGAAGTATCTTTGATACTTGCTGCATGATCTGCCTGTGGGTCAGTGGTAAATGTATGGACTTGCAGTGCTAAAATCTAGGATATGATTCCTCATGGTGAACAGAGTGTAGATAACCAATTGTGTAGCTTTGTGCTAAAAAACCTCTATGAATGGCTTTTAATTACAAGTTTTAACTCTTTCCATATGGGGATCCTTTTCTGTGCATGTCACGAGGTTATGCTGAGTTGTATTAAAAATTTAATTAAACTATCCCCCATTGAGACAAGAATAACTACAGAATTACAATCCTAAATTATGATACAATACATACCTTCTTCCACACAAAAACTTTTGCTGATCTTCATCTGCCCTCTAACACATTGAAAATAAATTTGTTCTCACTTGACTCGCTAACCTTTATAACTCTCAGTTTGAGTTGCTCATTTAGCATGAATTTCTATCTATATTCTTTTGCTTTTAAGGGTATGGCTGTCCTCATCAGCCTTCCCTTTTTTCCCCTGGCTTATTTTATTTGGATGAGAATGCTACTTGCAAGGGTTTGTCTTCCCTCTGGTAATTCAAACTGGCTGTTTTTGCATATTACAGTTTTTGGGATCTGTTTTACTTCTTTTGGGTCTCATATCAAGGTGGCCAACTTGCTTACTTTTGTCTTTTACTTGCATTTCGACTTTCTCACCCTTTTTCCTGTACCCATTTTGGAAGTTGACATCGATATGGATCTTTACGTGGTGGAGTCAAATCCTGTGGAGACCATGTTACTCTGTTTTGTTGACTTTTGAGAGACCTTCACTTCCATTCGATGAGTTCTATGGGTTTTTCAGAGTGTGGAATTTTCCACTTCAAGTGGCCATTTTTTCAATTATTGTTTAGCCTTCCTTTCCTTCCTTCAAGGGATCCTGTCTCATGCAATTGGCTGCTCCCTGTCAGGTGACACCTTCTCTTATCAGGAGCTATAATACCAGTTTTTCCAGTTTTGGGTTGGTCTATCTTTTTTTTCTAGCAAGAAGGGGCCTTCCATTTTATGCCTTCCCACCTATATTTTCCTCCCCTAACTTTTACCTTCATCTACATCTCTCCATGTCAAGTTCTCTAGTGGCTCAGATCTAATTATCCATCCCTTCCCTTTTCCATATTTGTTCCCAGTCGGTTCTAGATTGCCTTTTGTTTCCTGTGTAGGCTTTCTGGTGCTATGTTGTTCATACAGCTTCCTTTCGTGGCTCCTGTTCCCATTTGTTTCTTCCCTGGAGTAATTTTGGTTTGGGTTGTCAGATTATTCAGTTGGTTGCCTTGTTTATCATGTCTCCTTTCATCTGTTTTGACATGTCATCTTGTCTCTGGTGGTTCACTCTCATCATCCTCTGGAAGAGATTGTGCAGGCCAGAATGTGAATTACTCACTATGCTTTTGTCTCTCATTATTTGCTCCAGGTGTCTTTATACTTCTGTAATGCATATTGTTTCCCTCCAGTTGTGATTTCTCCATACACCAGATCAAATCTGCCTTGGGTAAGTATAATTTTTTTCATTTTTATTGTATGGGGCTCTCCTAGTGTTTTTGTTACATATTCGTATTCTGCTCAGTGGCAAGTGTTGCCTTACTTTAACAGTAAAAAATAAAAATATAAACTGTGCCTACTCCCTTTAAGGTTGTAACACTCACTGTTGGGGTGGGGTGATCTGTAAGACCACTAGCGGCTTACCTAGTGGTGTGTGTATAATTCTATTACATACTTGGCAGACTGTCACTCATGGACTTTCATGAGTAAAGCAGCAAGGGATTTTTACCCATCCCTGCCACTCCCTTGATGGTATAAATTGGGAGAGATTCACTTTTTTGCCGGGCAGGCAAAATATTATAGTCCTGACAGTTTGCCTATCTTTACCATTATAAAATATTTCCCCAAGCCGACCACTCCCATACTCCATATTATGACCACTGAAATGAGTCTTAATGCCATTGTTGGCTTTATACATTGTGACTGCCTGCTGTCTATTTTTCTTTGTTGTTCTTTTAAAATATGCAATAACAGGAAGCAAATGTTAGACTGTTGTAACTTGAGAGCTGTTAGTCCTAGTGAGTGTACCTCATAGAAAAAAGTATTATTATATATATTTATGTTACCTAATTTAACCTTATCTAGCCTAAAGTTTTCTAATTTTTGCAAATTTAGTTACTTTTATAATAATAAGTAAAGAATAGTTAAGAAAGACAAGAAATGTAGCCCTTATTTGTGTAACCATTTCTTTGTCATCAACTGTCGTTCTATCTTAGCTCTAGTACTTTCACCAATGCTATTAGTCTACAATTTTATTTTCTTTAAGTAAATAATGCATGAAAAAACACAGAATAATAACATGTCAACAGCTGAGAAAATTGAGTATCTGTCAGAATTTGTCTGATTTCCTAATCATGTGACTTGAGCAGGTAGAAATTTAATTTAGCTCCCCACTATGTTCTTGTGGGAAAAAATATTTTCTCATCAGCTAAATTGTCAATTATCTGTAGTATCATATGGCATGAATCATAATGCAATCAATCTGTTGAAATCTAGGCTTTCTATTGGTTATAAATTTAATAGGAGTGGCGACAAAAGAAGCAACTTGAAAATGATGGACAATTTAAATAATGTAGAAGATATTGTTCAAAGTGAAATCGTTAACACTATGTCAAAAAATAACAATCCAAAATCACCAACTATTTTGCGTAATAAAATGTATATGCACATGTTCCATGATTAAAATTTGTAAAATACTTTAAGTATGAAAAGAAAGACAATAAAATATTCAAGAAATTATTAATAGTTTGGATGTACAATATGCAAAGAAATATCACACATAACATTACAATTCAATATTCAAATATTTTACAGTTAGTTGATGAACTAGTCGATCCCTAGTAAGACCATTTCCATATTAAGATCACTTCTGTTCAGACACACACAGTGTGTGTGTGTGTGTGTAATTCTATTACGTACATGGCAGACTATCACTAATGAACTTTCATGAGAAAAGCAGAAGGGGATTTTTGCCCATTTCTGCTGCTCCCTTGATTGCATAAATCAGGAGTCGTCTGCTTTTCAAAAAAGGGTTTCACAGTTGTCCACTTCACTTCCTATGGCTTGGGAGTCCTTACCAATTTCCAGTTCCTAGTTGTTGGGGTGGTTAACCATAGAGGCTTCCTCTGGAGTGTAGCACACATATAGTAACATTATTTATCTCTACACTCTCTTGAGAAGAGGGCGAAGCTGGGAACCCTCACTCCTTCTCCCTCCTGGGTATTGTTGTGGGATGAGCTGGAACAGCTCATCATAATACCTGGTTGAAGTATACAGTGCCCTATACTTATGGTTGAGAATGGTAGACATCCACCCTCCCCACCCCCATCTTGGTAATTCCAGTAACAGGATGAATTTTCCCTCCTCCTATGATTGAGCTTGGGGACTTCGTCCACCTCGTAGAGCTGGTAGTGGGACATATGATACCCCCCTGTTCTTACAGTTGAGTTGTGATTCACACACTGCCCCATAACTCTGTGTTCAGTTTAGTGTTCTTGCCCCTTATGGCTGTTGTGGAAGTTTGTCCAGTGATTGCCATTTGCATACTTCTTCATTGTAATTCTGGTTGTTTGCAGTATAGTACTCTGTTTTCTTGCAGTTGGAGTTCGTTTGTATATATATTGTTCATGGTCTGCTCACCCTAGCCATGTTACATCGTATATACTTATTTGATTCTTTGACATTGCTCTCAACCTCATAAAACTGAGGACACGAAGTAGAACTTTTTGTATCCAGTTGGGGTGGAGGAGAGTTTTGCTCTAATATTTTCTGAGGCCATTCTTTCATGGTTTGGTCCTCAATGATGCCTGTTTCATGGCACTTTACTTCTTAAAGGGTGAAGAGCATACCCTTTCCACAAATGGTGTGGCCCCTCTCTTGTATGCTTTTGTTCAATTCCTTGTGGTTGCTTTCCATGGTGAGTTTCTTACGTCTGTGCTACACCAGTCCTTCCACGTACTCATTGTGGGATTCTAGCTTTGGTGTGAAGTATGTATCATGTTGGAAGTTATCATTTTCCTACACTGAAAATAGATTTCCAATAGATAGTACCTCCATTCACACATTTCCTATCCTTTCTCCCCTCTTTCTATTATCTGATGTGCCTAATCTCAAAAGTGAGGTACACAAAATATAATATAGGGGGGGGGGCAGCTGCTCCAGGAGTGTGTTTTTTTCTCCTATTGGTAGAGGGTCATCACATGCTTTATGCAAACTAAATGAGCAGCTTGAACTGAAGGGGTATAAAGGCTTGTAAGTCAAGAGAGAATAAATTTCTTTTCAATGTGTTAGATGGCAGATGAAGCTTAGGAAAAGATTTTGTGTGTTTGAGGAGGTATCTATTTTCAGTGTAGGAAAATGATAACATCAGGGGGTTCATTTCCCTTCTGTGGATACAGCAGATAGCCAGATGTGGGTTTGCTATTAAAAAAACACACATTGATTAAACTACTTTATTATCATGGCGTATGAATAAACTTGACATCAAAACTTAGCTAATACTCCAAATCTTAATATTATATAAATTTTACGTTTTATAAGGCAATATTTAAAAAAAATCCCGAATATTCCCAAGTATGAGAATTGTAACATTTGCTCTCTTGGTCTTCCCTCTCTAATTTATTTACTGCCCCTCCAAGTTGTATGGAATTTAACATAAATTATTCATTATAATATTGTTATTACTCAGGCAAAACATATCTTCTCTTTCACAAATTACCAATAGTCCTCTCTGACTTTTAATACTATATTGAGATTTTTAATCTATATAATGACATACTATATTGCATTGTTTTCTGTACAGAGAATTGTCTGTTTTAGTTCCAGTTCAAACTTTATTTCTACAGACTTAGCTGAATTTTTAATGTCTCTTATCACATAAATAGAAAGCCAGAAAAATTACGATAGTTATAGGACATTGTCTGCTTTTTACCTATTATTACTCTGTGTTCTTAGTTTTATTATTTAATTAAATAAAAATTTGTTTACTGTAGTAGTACCATTTAGTATAATAAATTGGCTTAAATTTCATTGACAGTAGACAGCAAAAGACCCCAAGCAAACACTATATTTCTTTTTTTTTTCATGTAGATTCTTTCTTTATTATTATAAATGTAACTAAAACGTAAAAATTGTAAACTTCTTATGTTAGGTACGGTTAGATTAGGTAAAATAAAGAAAAGTAATAGTAGTAGAAAAAATTTCATGAGGTATGCTTGCGAGTAGTCTGCGCCTTACAAAATTTGAGAGGGTAACGTGAGCTGCATGTTTGCCAAATTATTTACAACTTGTGTGGTGGGATTATTAGTTAGACAATAAAACAACAAGATTTAAGTAGAAATAGACATGTACTGTTACAAGTATAAAGTTATTTATGATAAACAAATGTTGTTTCATGTTGCAATTTGAAGCCATTGTAGAAAGAAAAAAAGGGTAATTTAGATTCATTTTGTACTGTGGTGGTTACAAGGTTGGTCAAATTGACCAACCTTGGTTAGGGTTGAGATAGTAAAAATAGCAGATAAAATATGAAGTTTTAAAAAACATTTAAAATTTATTTAGGAGGTTTTGGAGATTATGAAAATGAAATTTGAGAATTTTCAGATTAAGAAAAGTATTTTTAATCTCAACACTTTGCACTTGGAATAATCAACATTTTGACTCCATGTATTCATGGAGAAATTTTTAGTGAAAATACTTCATTAAAATTCTTATTTATTGTCTACAAAACACTTGTAATGATAACTGAAAGCTTGTTATAGTATCGAAACTATAAAGGTCAATTTTGGGTCAGGAACTCCACTAATTCAACAAAACCTGTAGCAAGAGTGTTAATCATTACATAAAAGTTTTTGTACATAAACACTTAAATCTTTATTGTGAGCCAGACTAGTTTCAGAGAATTCCACTCCTCATCAGTGACCCTGGACACTACCACCAATGAAAGTTCAGGCCAAACCAAGCCTTTGTAGTAGTGAGGTGTTGAAAATCGAAATGGTGTATTTAAGTGTTTTACACTCACAAAAAAAGAAACCTATCATTCTACAGGTATTTGAAGAACTTGTAGTATTCTGCCACAATTTAATTCTTCGTATTGTTACCCGACACAGACACACCCCCATTGAAAGAATGAACCATTCTGACAACTGTTTAAACAACTCTATTCAATTATGTACCTGCTGCCCTGGGTTGCAGGTTCAAATCCCCATCACTGAACATGCTCGACCTTTCCACAGTGGGGGTGTTACAATTGACAGTCAATCCCACTATTTGTTGCTAAAAAAAAAGTAACCCAAGAGTTGGTGGTGAGTGACATTATCTAACTGCCTTCCCTCCAATCTGTCATTTCTAAATTAGGGATGGTTAGCAGAGATAGCTCTTGGGTAGCTTTGTGCAAAATTCAAAAACTAGACAATCTATATTTCAGTTTTGTGCACTTGCACAATATTGTGAATTACATTACAGTATAATTTTTTTAATTAAATATGCATAATTTTGAATTATTTCTTAAAGAGTTTTGAATTTTGCAGGTGGAGGGCTACCCAACTCTGATTCTTTTCAGGAATGGAGAACGTATTCAAGAATATGGAGGAGCCAGAGATCTTTCTGCTCTGCATGGATTTGTGTTGGAGCATTTACCTCGAGAAGAATTGTAGTTTATATTCTATACATTTAGAACTTCAGGGAGTAGAAAAATATAAATATAGTAAGATTCATAGATTGCTGAAACTTTCTTTATTTTGTTATTTGCTTCACTGATGAGTGCATGCCATTATCTTAGTTGCAATGTATGTTTTCTTTTTATTAGTCACTGTATAATTTTGCATGTCCAAGTTGTGTTCTTCACTTATTGATCAATGCTGATGATAAAAATAGTACTATACTAATTTTGTAATAAATGAACTTGCACAATTTCAAGCTGTTGAAAAACACCATCCCTTTTCGTACATCTTATATGTATTTTTATATTTGTGCTTAAAAGTTCAAAGCTTGATATACAGAACATTTGTATAGGAAAATTTTGTTTCAAATACATTTGAAATATAATAGCAAAATGCATGTAAAAGCACAAGATAGAATAAGAAATGTATGTTAAGGAAAAGTGCTTAGTCATTTGGAGTTTTTCATTTTTTTAGTTTCAAAATGGAGTTCCTGCATAAGGTATCTTTAAAAATGGACACATATTTTATTATTTAAAATATTTGGTTATTCTTACAGTAGAAATTGTTTAACATAACTCATGATAAAGAAGTTCCCAGAGAAACAGAAACACTATGGAGAAGTAAAGAACTACAATAATACAAATGAAATGAAAAAAGAAATATATTATAGAACATGAGCATTTTTCATTATGTAAAGGATTTATCCCGTGTATAGCATTTCTGCATGTTTTCTTTATGTAAATCTTAAACTATAAATAATTTTTGACAGCTTTTGAAATGTTGTAATATGTAATTGTTTTCTTTTCAGTCATTTCTTTTAATTATTATTATTTCTTATAAGGGTTAGAAATAGTTTATTTATCATAAAAAAATCACACATTTTTCTTTGTGAAGTGCATGCATCTGTGATGATTATATTTTATGTCAATTGTTGTGTTATTCTTTGAATTATGATTTACAATTAATACACATTACTTACAGGAACTAAATTCATTGATTTTTTTTTTTATTATTTAATCAATAAGTTACAGCCAAGAAGAATAATTAACTAAAAGAAAACAATTTACACAGATGTTAAACCAAACATGGAATAATTATTAAATACACAATTACAGATTTTTATTTCAAATAGCTTTATACTAGAGGTAGACCAATAATCAGTGTTCAATTTATTTAAAATCACTGGAGCTAAATAATAAAAACACTTTGAACTCAAAATCGAAGTGCTTCTTGGATAGTAATAGATATTTCTATGACAAAACAATTATAAACTATCTCTAGAGAGGATTAACGAATTCATTTCAGGAGTATATATTATAATACCTCTTGCAACCTAATGAAGCAGTAAACACAGGCCTAATAAATAGTTCCAAAACATACCATCCACTGCCACTTTAGCTATTTCTTGATATTCAAGGTTTATATCTCTTTGCCCATCTAAGCATTGAACTTGCTTGCTCCCGTCTTTTATACCCCACTTGAATGCCCTTGGCAATATCTACCTTTCCAACCTCTCCACCAACATTAATGCACCTCCAACTAGGTACTGTATATAAGCACCTATTTCAGGTAATGTAATCACTTTTTCTCGACAAAGCATTTGGCACAGGTTTCTATACAGGGGTATTGTGATTACTAACGCTTTTAGTTTCAACTTTAGATGACTTCTTATTTCTACAATGAAAATTTCGTTTAATTTCATCAATTATAATTAAAAAAGGTCTCCATTTTGTGGGCATGAATTCCCAAGTTAATGTTTCCATCATGGAGGCTAACCACACCTCCCCTATTCCACCTGTTATCTGGTATTGGCAACAGTTGAGGGAGGAGTCACTTACAATCGAGGTTGTCCGTGAGATGGAGACATATATGTGGACTGGGGTGTTTCCCTAGGAGATTCTGAGACAGCTTTTGCAAATGATCTTGGACATACTGGGGAGAATTTAGACTTCCTTTTTTCCAACTCCTTCGTTTACCAGGTCGGCCTCAATGGAGGACAATTTAGATCAGTTACCTCTTACTACTTTTCCTCAGTTGGTTAATCGAGTTTGTGAGGTTTTGGAAGTATCTCCAATTGCTTTTGAGTCTACTCCTTCCTTCTCCAGATATTGCCGAGAGACTTGCCAATCAGTTGCATGATGGGATAGCTATGTCTTGTACCCCACATTTATCAAAACAGCATGCCTTGATTTATTACTGCCAGGAAGAAATATATTTAGATTCTCAATGACTGGACCCCCTTTTGGACATATGGGGTTCCAGATTAGAACCTGTGATCACCTAAAACAGATCACAATTTTCTTGGGTTCGTCTGACTTTCAAGACAGAAGAGATATTTATCTTCACTCCAACTTTTGTCAGAAGCCTATCAACATTCTCCTCATCAGGTTGAGAAGTAGGACCTTTGCTGATGGCTACTATGGTCAGATTGTCAGCTTCAGTTCTTTCCTTAGTTTTCTGACTTGTTTGTTGCTAGGACTTATTAGGTAGAGATGCCTTGTTGGAGGGTGTTCATCTACCATCTGTTGCCCTCCAGGAATTAAGGGAGGTCCCTTTTCTTCATCCCTTGTTGTTTGCTGGAGTTCAAGATGCTGATCATTTACATTCTTCCTTATCGTCGTTGGCCTCTCGTCTTTCTTCGGCTCCAGCTGTAGTTCGGGAGTATCGGCTTGTCGTGTTCCCAACCCCTAACTTCAGTCCCATGTTCTGTTGGTACCAACAATAGATATTGACCTTATCTTCGCAGATCTTTTGCTATGATAGATTGACGCCAATGACATTGGTGACTAGCAATGTGCTCGGGGGTGGGGGCTGTGGGAGGACGATTACATCGATTTCTCAACATCTGTATTTCCTTCACCATGGATCCTTAGGTACTCCATGTTCTGTAGTCAGGGTTGGACATTTAGTTTACATCTTCACGTCCATTATCCACACAACCTGTTGTTTTTCATCTTCAACAGATCCAAAGTGAGTGGAGCTTTGTTCTTAGGCTATAAGATAGTTGTTAGACAAAAGGGGCAATAGAGAGGATCGATCTCGCTCTTCCAGAATTTTTATTCCTGCCTTTTTGTGGTGCCCAAGAAAACCTATGATTTGTGCACAAGGGTCAAGTGCTGCAGTTCAGAGCTCTGCCTTTTGGTCTTGCATCAGCACCTTATATCTTCTGCAGGGTGGTATGAGCTTTTTCTTGCCACCTGCATTCCTTGGGCCTGTGGACAACTGGTTACTTTTGGCTCCATCTCGTCAGTTGGCAGAACAACATATCCAGATTCTCCTGTCAGAAGCCACAAAGGCAGGTTTCTTTATCAAAGGAGAGAAATGCATTCTATCACCAACTCAATACCTTGTCCATCTGGGTATCTTCTTTAACACATACTTAAGTCATGGTCATCCGACTCGTATCAGACTACAAGCTATGGGAAGAGCAGTCAGGCTTTTACTTATATTTTCTTCTCTTACTGCGTGGATGTTCTCTCTTCTTTGGGGATGTGTGAATCCCTTGAATCTCTCATTCCCTTGGGAGGAGCCCATGTGAGGTCCCTTCACTGGTCACTGTGCAACCAATGGATCATGAACTCTGATCCATTGGATCATCCAGTCTCCTTACCTGAAGCAACATTGCAAATCTCGAGTGGTGGTTGGATCAGAACAAAATTATTGTCAGAGTATCAATTCCACCTCCTCGTCCTGAGATCCATCTGTTCACAGATGCATCTCATCAAGGATGGAGTGCTTATATCCATGGTCACGAGTTCCAGGGTATTTGGACAGTTTGCAAATCTTCTCTTCACATCAACATTCTCGAACTACTTGCTGTACACCGAGCAATGGTTCAAGGTCTGTTTCTCTTGAAGGGGAAAGTAATCATGATCCATTCCGAAAATTACATGATGATATTTCTTGACAAGGTGGCACACATTCTCGAGATATTTGTTTTGCATTTTGAATTTTCTCTACGGTGCTCACTCCTATCTTATAAGTCTTTTAGCATGCCATATTCCTGGAGTGATGAATTTAATTGTGGATCATTTCTCTTTGCCCAGTTGGATTCTCCTGACTAAATGGATGCTAGATCACAAGGTTTTTCAGTGGATTTGCTCTCAGTTTGGATCACTAATAATAGACGCCTTTGTAACTCGTTGGAGTTCTCAACTGCAGTTGTTTTGGTAGACAAACTTTAAAACTTGTTCTCTCTTCCTCCAAACTAAACAACTGCCACGATTAGTTGTTTTTTTTCAGTATCTGCAAGTGTGTCTGCCTCTACCACTTCCTCTATGGCTACCTCTGTTGAGACAACCTTCATCTGATGTTCTACACCCAGATGTTCAGAAACTCAACCTTCATGCCTGGAAGTTATGCAGGCCTTTGCCAGACATAGGGGTCAACGTCTAAAGTTATGTTGTACTTAACTAAATCTTTCCCTAGACCAGTTATGGCCATTTATCAACAAAAATGGCACACTTATTGTCAGTGGTGTATAAAATGGTAATCCAACCCACTTCATCCAAAGGTGTTTACCATTTCAAGTTTTTTTACTTGGATTTTTGAAAGAGGTTTGGCTTCATCTCCTGTGGTGTTATATAAAGTGTCCTGATTGACTATTTTTCGATATTCCAAATATAGGAAGGTTTTGACTCTTCAGTTATATCTAACCTATTAAAATCCTTTTGCATCCTTCATTCCAAATGGCCTTTTCAAGTGCCTAATTTGGATGTTAAGGTTGTTTTGCATGAGTTTTCTCATCATCCCATTGAGACTTTAGCCTCCTGTTCTTTGTAGCACCTTTTGATTAAGGTATATATTTTTTGTTATTGTTGGCATGTGGACGTTGTCGACCTGAATTATTTGCATTATATGTACATAGGACTCTTTATAATTCCACCTATGTCTTGCTTTACCGTGATAGGTCTTTCCTTCTAAAGACTTTGGCAGCCAGAGAGGGGGGGAAAATCCTTCTCACCCATTCATTTGCCAGCCCGATCATTTTCATGTGATTCGTAATAACTCATTTTCAGGTACTAGGAATCGACTATTTATTGTATGGGATACTTTGTTATCTCAGAATTTATCCCCATTACCTTAACAAGGTTGCTTCGAAAATTGATTCACATTGTCAACTCTGATCTATATTTACAGGAGAGGAATCTGCTGTGAGTCACATTTCTATGTCATTGGTTGCCCATTTGAATTGCCCTCTGGCAGACATTGTGTGGGCTGGTACGTGGACTTCTCCCAATACTTTCATCTCTCATTAGTTGCGTGATCTGGTAGTTTCCTCTTCTGAAGGTTTTTGACTAACCCCTGTGACTGTTTTGACTACATCCACTAGATTTTAACAAGGGGATGAGTAATTTTCTTCATCATCTTGTCTTTCTTGTGGTGAGACAGGTGTGCTTTTATCATTCTAATTCTACACTAGCAACCCATTTCACCATCCTTACTACTGGTTGCAACAGGCTCTGTAGAAATTACGTGTTCCATAAGACCATCTAGGTGCATTCTGGATAGTATTATCATATTCTCATGGACTGCCATTCGTGGACTATCATGAGTAAAGCTAAAGGGGATCCTGCCCATCCCTGCCGATCATTAGATTGAATAAATCGAGTTTGGTTTGTTTTTCAAAATTTAGGGAACTTGGTTCACCTATTGCACTG